CCTTTTAGTAACACAACTGAACACAACTCACTGTTCCCAAAAGGATTGTTTCTCTTTCTCAGCAACAGTTCAGAACAGAGTGATACTCAAAATCTTTGACGTGTGACCACAAACAAAATTATCTGAAAGTGTTTAGATAACGTTGTGATAAGATCTACCTCATCACTATGTTAGAGGGTTGTAGAATTTTTTTTTTTTCATCACATTTCAAACCAACTCTTAATTTTCATGGAGTCAAAAGAGAAAGCTATTGAGTTCCTTTGCCGTGGGACTCCTAAACCTTACAACCTCTCTTCTCGATACCTATGAAAATTCTCAGTCATCCGTTCAAGGAAAAACAAACAAAATCCAGTTGCCTCTTGAAAAAGCACCTTTAGGATAACCTCTCTTCTCAGTTCCCAGCATGAACAAGTACCAAGCATGTGACACATCATCATGCACTACCTAGTTGTAGCTGCCCATTTCAACTAGGAGCTGTCAGGACAGGTGCCATAAGATGATCAATGGCAATTTGTGCATGCTCTGGCCAATTTTTAGTGTTTTTTTTCAGCAGCGTTTTCTTCCAGCCCTACCTTGAGATGCAGTAAATTGACACTTCGACTCTTAGCATGAAAAGAGAAGAGTCTAAGATAATGCAAGCAGCTATGAAACAGTCCCTCAACCAATCATTCATCATTTCAATAGGAGCATTTTCAAAAACCTTCATCTAAAATGTCTTTGATTGGGGCAAAGCCACTTATTACTGCACCAAATCTCTTATTTTATCTTTTTTTTTCCTTTAAAGGCATGAAACAGAACTAGAAAAATAAGTGTTCATTTGAATATCTTTTGGATCTTTTCTTCAAATGAATGCTTCCCTCGATTTATTTATTTTATCATTTGTTTTTAAGCCCGTCCATCCACATCAGTGACTCTGGGCAGGTAACCAGGATTAAAACCAAAACAAACACACACAAAAATCCACAATAAACTGCAAATGAACAGCAACAAAAAAAAATGTAAATATAAGTCATGCTCAAGGCCCATAACCTAGTTCCAACAAACAAAAGATGTATATAACAGGTTCAACCAACATTCTGACCCCATTCCAGAGTCTGTTCCACTGGAACCTACTCATCTGTATTACACCATACTTTTTTTTATATAGGGAATGTACAGGATCACGTAGATCAGTGGTGTCAAATTCAAGGCCCGGGGGCCGGATCCAGCCCGTGGGGTGCTTGGATCTGGCCCACAGGGCCACAAAACAGCGAAGGACTGGCCCACAGTTCCTCTGCCAGTGAAAACGGAGCTCGGGAGAGCTGCTCCCGAGCTCCCTTTTTGCTGATAGATGGTTGCAGGAGGCTGTCGCAGTCAAAACAGAGTTCGGGAGCCCATTTTCACTGTCAGAGCACTGGGGCCACCATAGGCACCCCCGACACGAGTGATGTCAAGCAGGCCATGCCCACCCTGGCCACGCCCACCCCGGCCCCTCAAGATCAAACACAACCCTGATGCGGCCCTCAATGAAATCGAGTTTGACACCCCTGACGTAGACAGACAAAATTCCATGCAGTTCACCACCCAAAGTGCAAAGATTTTCTAATATTTCTCATCTGCAATATCAGTTCTTCGTGGGACCCGATTCGTGCCGGTGTTGCAATCCTCTCAAGGAAGAGGGTCAGGGAGGGGGTGGGGGAAAGCAGCTGCTTAACTTCTGAACCTCGTAAGTCTCACAAGAACACGTATGGGCAGGTCCAGATTGGAAGGCGGAGGCACGTTTTGGCAGAATCCCTTTGATTTACCCCATGAAGGAGGAGCAATAGATTTCAACTCGGACTAGCACGTATCCTGGCAAAAGTTTTAGTGTCCACCTTTTCATCGCCAGAATCCCAGGGAGAAAGACTTCTTCCACTATACAAACTTCATTAGAGCTTTTCCAAAACCAAAGCATGGAAACCGGACAACTTGAAGACCTCGATGATAAGAGCTCTGGACATTTGGATGCTACCTTGAAACTCTTCCATATGTTTCTACTCCCTCCCGGGTAGAGAACTGCAAGGTAAAAATGCTACCATCCCCGCTGATTTCTACTAACCTGTTACACAGATGCGCTGCTGGGTTTGTTTCATTATTTTTATGCTTTGAATGAAAAGAACACTTCGGCTTCATCCAAGAAGAGATGGTCTTTACTTGTTTTGTGTGGGGCCTCATGAAGCATACGTTCTCAGGGATGGGAACAAATTGTGGATATTAATTGTCAGAGGAGCCTGAACAAGCCATGGCATAGGTCCATGCTGTGCCATGGATTCCCAGCGCAAGCATATATTGTACTGTAGTCCTAAAGTTTCACTGGTCAACTTAATATTATATCGCAGTGTTTCTCAACCTTAACAATTTTAAGGGGTGTGGACGTCAACTCACAGAATTCATTCTGGAAGTCGAAATCCACACATCTTAAAAAGGCCAAGTTTGGAAAGCATTCCGGTATTGTGTGTGAAAAGGAAGTCTCTTGCAGATTTTAAGTGGGCAAACCTTGGTACCCAAGAGTGTGCAACAATCATAATATATGCTGATATAGAATAACCAGTTAAAGCACACTTTTAAACAAAAACCCAGAGTGGGTCTATTAGCCGCTCTTGAGCAAAGAAGTGAGAGAAAATGAGAATGGGGTGAATGGGCACTAGAAAACGTGATTTTTGATTAGGAGTTGGTTGAATAAGACTGATCCTAGCCTATTCCAATTGCATTATCCAAAGGTGCTGGGAAAACAGATTCCAGGATTCTCAGGTTGTTCAGTCATGTTGGTTGGGAACTCGAGGAGTTCCAGTCCCAACAAATTTGGAGGGCACCAAACTGGAAAAGGCTGGGCTGAATGAGGGGGGTGGGGGTTTAAAATCTGCCGACTATGAAGTGCACATTCTTGTAACCAGTAGAACTCTTGGTCTAACCTTTCAGTTCCCTGCTTCTAGAATATTTCCGCATCCAAAGACACAAATAAATAAACCCTGTTCCTTCAGCCATTCTCATGAACTGAGATCCAGCAGAAAATATTTGGATCATGCCAGTGCAGACACTTAATAGAACAGTTGTTACTGAGTAACTGGAGAGTAAAAAAGAAGTTTTTAAAAAAAAAAAAAATATGGGAATCCCTCTGCTGCCAGTATGGCTCATGTTTTGCTCCCCTTCCAAAGGTATTTTTCTCACACGAGAGTTACTGCACTTGCCTTGGTTGAAAAAGTAGATTCTTCTCACCCAAACACACACATACACATTCTCCTTGTAAATTGAGGGAATGCAGCCCAACTCTACATTAAATCACAATAAAAGAGGAATTGATTACTACTGATAGAGTTAAATTGAGAGAGGTGTGTATCTTAACTCTTCTGGATAAGACCAACAGATAAGAGAGAGATAAAGAAAATACAAGTGACTCTTTTGTCTTCTTTCCCCCTATCATTTATTTTCAGATTTACAAGGGTTCTCCAGGGCCAAAACACACATGGGGGAAACTCTGTTTCAAGCCCCTCCATCAAGAGTCACAGCAATGACTTTTCAAATAACCACATTTCTATCCATGACCTGACCTTAGAGAGAAACCAAAGGAGGAGGAGGAGGAGGAGAAAAAGATGGAGAAGGAGAAGGAGAACAGGAAGAGGAAGAGGAAGAGGAAGAGGAAGACAACTTAATCCCATTTTGATTCAGGAAAGAGATGTTGCCCATGTACAAAGTTTGCAACGAGCACATGAGGGCTATTTTATTAAATGTCCAGTTTTGGACCTGATGGAATCCATATGGGATTAGTAACATTTGTCCCACTGGCTCAGCATCGGGAGGGGGGTGGGGAAACCGAGTAACTTAGTAGAAGGAATCACATTTCAAGTTTTCCTTGGGATAATGATAGAGGCTCCAAGAACCCAGGCTGCATTCCAGAAGAAAAAGATCTCCCACCCACCCCCACATCATCCCCGCTCCTCACCCTATCCACCTACCCACTGCCCAAATTGAAAAGCGAAAAGCTGAAAAGCAACATTCCCTCCTCCTTTCCCCCCTCCCCCCATGTCCTTTCTCCAAAGTGGCATTTCAATCAAGCAGAGCAGAAGAAAGCTTCAAAAAGTACTTCTGGCTCCCTCCCTACCAGACAGACAGGTGCCACTTAACTGCAATACGAGGAGGGAGGGAATCATTTCTCTCCCCCCCCCTCCACTTCCTTGCTGCCGGGCACTGAAGGAGCAGAAGGAAATGTGGGAGGTCGGCCAAAAACGGTTGAATAAGTGACCAGGCTACTGATAAATGACCTCTCTCTCTTTCCTAGTGCAAAGAAGAAGAGGAAAAAATAATATGTACATTTAAAAGCAATCACTCACACCCTCTTCACTACTGCCAACAATACTTTTCTTCTCCTCTGGCTTAGGGAGAAGCAAAAGTGCTCTCCAGACTGAGTTCAATAAGGCTACAAGAGTAGTAACTCGCCTTCCTGGGTCAACGGCAATAGAGACGGGTCTCAGGAATCAAGTTCTGGACTTAAGGCAGAGTTTAGTTTGAACAGGGAGGGGGGTCACACGGGTGGGGGTGGGGGAAAACTCTTGCAATAAAGCCATGCCCTATTATGACCAAACATATGCTAGCAAGGATGCTACAGACTCTCTTAGAAGGATTCGGGGTTGGCCATCCTTGCCATTACTTTAATACTCCAAGCACCAACTCAGGTTGCAAAGCTGTTCTTTCAAGTAAAGGATGGAATAAAGGGGGAGGGGGGAGGGAAAAGGACCAGCATTTGACCAGCCTTTAAATTAACCTCTCTTTGCAGCCCAGGGGAAAACTGTTATAAGGACACAACCAACCCAAAAACCAAAAACCATTGGGTTCTTGGGCATCTAAACCAAAGCAAGAGATGCCGGAGAGACCCCACGAAAGGGATGAGAGTAGTAAAACTTCCCCAGCGCCTCTGGGAAACTAGGTAGCTAGGAAGCGGGGAGGGGAAGAGGGCGCACGGGGTGGGGAGGAGGACCCCCAGGTACCTTCCAGCCAGCGGAGCTGTTGCTGTCGCCTTTATCCTTAAAGTAGGGCACGTATCGGACCATCCAGTCGTAGATCTGGGAGAGGGTGAGCCGTTTCTCCGGGGAACTCTCGATCGCCTTGGTGATGAGATCGGCGTAAGACAGGTTGCCCCAAGCGTTCCGCCGCGAAGTCTTGGCTTTGCGGAGCTGTCCAACGTCCGCGCTCAAAGAAGGCAGCGCGGGGGTCGCTTTGCCACGCTCCGTCGCCACGCCGGCGTTCTCGGCGCCTTCGGGGCCGCCGGCCAAGGGGTGCTTCGGGGCGCCGCCGCCTCCTCCTCCTCCTCCTCCACCACCACCACCACCAGCACCGCCGGTTCCATCGTCTTCTTCGCCCGGGAAGTCGGGGTGAGGCAGCGGCCAGGTGCAAGAGCGAGGCCGACTCTGAGGTTCAAAATCCGGGTCGATGTCAACCTGATGCGCCTGCAGCTTCTCATCCATGTTCCTCCCCCCCCCCCCCCCCCGGACCCCCCTCTCCCCCCCCCCCCCCCCCCCTTTTTCCCCCCCCCCCCCCTTTTTTTTTTTTTTTTTTACCCCTCTCTTTTATTCCGCTTTATATCCCGGGAAAAGGGAAGAGACGGTCTTCCTTTGTAAAAAAAAATATATATAAAAATTTTAAAAAATTTTAAAAAATTCCAGCCAAAAGGTTTCCACCTCCCCGCCCAAAAAAAAAAAAAAAAAAAAACCAAAAAAAAAAAGCGTCGACTGGCAGCTCCGGAGCAGACGGGCGCGTTAGGAAGCGACGCTCCGCGGCGGCGGCGGCGGCGGCAGCAGCGGTAGCAGCAACAGCATCGCACCAAAGTGGGTCGGGGAGGAAAAAGGGAGAGAAAAGAGCGCGAGGGAGGCGGGATCGGAGACGCTGCCTCGCCGGCTTTGGGGAGGAAGGTGCGTCGGGGGAGCGGTGGGAAGGGAGGAGGGAAGCGGGAAGCGGCGGGGAGCCCGGAGCCCACAGCGCAGCCGGGCCGGTTCTCGGAGGCTCCAGCAGAAGGGGCAAAAAGAACGGCCGAAGGCGGAGGCGGCGGCGGCGGCTTTCTCCACCGAGCCCAGCGCAAGAGAAAGGCGAGGGGGAACGCCCGTTCGAGCAACAGATGAAACAGCTGGAGCGCAGGAAAAGACCTCGGCGAGCTTTCGAGGGTTGCCCGACAAGCTTTCCGGGGAGACCCCAGGCAGGCTCGAGGCCAAGGCAGTCCGCTTGCTTCCAAGAGGAAATCTTTGTTTGTTTGTTTGTTTGTTTGTTCCAAGAGGAGGAGGATTTCAAAATATGCCCAAGAGAAGAAAATATATAGATATCTATATATAAAATCAATATTCAAACGACGGTTCGGGCGTTAGCGGAAGAATCCGGCGCTTAAGGGAGTCCGGAGACAGGGATGGAGACGCGGGGCGAGCGCCACCATGATCGCGCCCCGTCCTTTCCTCGACGACGGAGGAGACTCGCACCGGGAGCCGGCAGGCACCGGCTGGACTGGGCAGCCGATTGGCCAGGCAGGCAGGCAGGCAGGCAGGCAGAGGCAGCGCGTTCTGACGATTAGCACCTGCTGCTGCTGCTGCTGCTGCTGCCGCTGCCGCTGCTGGCAGACTCGGGGCGGCAGCCAGCCCTGGTCGCCGTCGCTGTCATCTTCCTGGCCAACCCGTCGTCTTCCTCCTCCTCCTTCTGCTTCTCCTCCCGCTGCTGCTGCTGCTGCTGCGCTCGTGCCGCCCCGAGCGGGCGCCGCCTCTCTCTGGGGACCCGACGGGATGGCAACATGCTGAGGAGAAGGAGGAGGAGGAGGAGGAGGAGGAGGAGGAAGAGGCGGCGGCGGCAGCCAGAGGAGGAGAAAGCGGCGGAAACGGCGGCGGGAGCGACCGCCACTCTCTCTCTTTCTCTTTCTCTCTCTCTCTCTTTCCGTGCTCCTTTGCCCTCTCTCGTCACCGGGCGCCGAGAGCCGAGCGGACCCGTGCCTGCCACGGACAAGCAGCGCGCGCGGGAAGGAAGGGCAGCCAACGAGACCGCCAGGCGAGCCGGCCGCACTTCGGGGGGAGGGGAGGGGAGGGGAGGGAGGGAGGGGGGGGGGGGGAGAAGAGGGAAGGGCCGGCCCGGTTGGTTGGGGAGGGGAGGGGGAGGGAAAGGCGGCGCCTCGCCCAGCACCTTAACACGAGGGCGAGGTGGAGGAGGAGGAGGAGGAGGAAGAGGAGGGTGCCCGCCTTCCTCCACTCACTCACTCACCCCCCCCCCCCGCCCCGCCTCCTTTGCCCCCCCTCCCCCCCCCCCCCCCTTTCCTGGCTGCTGGCCGGCTGGTGCCAAAGTCGCACGGGCTCCTCGGCCGTCCACTGACCCCCCACAAAGGCACGTGACCACAACACGCCGGGTATTTCCCAGCCGAGAAGGGAAAGCAGCTGTTGCTGCTGCTGCAGCCGCCTCCGGACAAGCGCTCGGACCAAGGCGGCCGGCTTTGGCCTCGCCCGGGCGGACCCTGCCTGGACATCTCCCAAACTGTCCGCCCGGCCGATGCGCTTTGCTTTTTTCCCCCAAGGGTTGAGGCGAAGGGGGTGGAAGGGGGAGGGGAGGTGCTTTGCAGGCGCATGGGAGGTGTAGTCCCCCCCCATCCCTTCACGGCATCGTTCATCCAGGGTGAGAGAGGGGAGGGGGGGTCTCTCTTCACAGCCAGGGCTTGGAAATAGGATTTGAGCCCCTTCCCTTGCACGGTCTGCAGGGTGCATGAAGCCTTGAGGGGGTGGGTGGAGGGGACTGTCTGCGAGACTGTCTCCGCACACGGCCGGGCAGGACTCCCGCGCGACCAGCCGGCTTCCTCCCCGTCTTGCAATGAGGCCCACAGCTGGTCTCCTGACCCCGCCCACCCGCCGGGCTCTTCCCAGCCCCCGCGCTCCTCCCCCGCTGGCTTTTCCCGGGTTTCTCCCTGGCTTGCTCCAAATCGTTACACTGACCTGACCCTGTGCCGCCTCCTGATTGGAAGGAGCGCGGCACATGACCTAGACCTCCGCGCGCTCTCATTGGCTCGATCCCCAGCCAGCGTTTATTAAAAAAAAAAAAGGAAGGAAGGAAGGAGGGCAGAGGGAACCTCCCCCCTCTGTGAGGTCTACGCTTCTTGAGTTACCCGCGGGTAACCCAGGGCAACGAATCTCACCAAGCCGGACCGCCGTTGAATGAAGCCACGCCCACGGCTTCGACCAATTCACGCCGAGGCCGTCGACGCCCCGCCCCACCCCCTCCGCCGCTCTGCCTGACTCTGGCGAGCGAAAAGACGGCGCGGCGGCGCTGGCCACGCCCACCTTTCCTTCCAGGCTTGTCGTCCTTTAGGAGCTTCTCCTCAGCGGCTCTTCGCATGATTGACCCACATTGAGGATGCCGCTTGACGCGCTTTGCGTCGATCCAGGATGAAGTCCTGCGGATTTCGGCGGGATTTTCAAAGTCGTCGTGCTCCAGAAGCTGGCAGACCTTTCCCCGTTTTTCATTTTACGGAGACGGTTCCGTCCGTCAGTCATTAAAGAAAAAAAAAACTCTTTATTTTCTCGGAAACTCTTTAAAACGGGATGTCTCGGTTGCAATGAAAATAAAATAAATAAATAATAACGATAATGACGTGAATAAGGCGGATGGATAGGCTTGCATCAGCAAGAACCAGCGCTGGTTGTGCCCATTTGTGGCTTAAAGCAAGGGAGCATATCCACCCCGGTGTCCTGAGATGACACAACATGCCTCTCACTACACACAAATAAAAATGCAAGGGCTGGGTTGGTGCCTCAGCCGCGCTAGCCTCAAGTAATCTTCCTTAATGTGCCTTAGCTTCCAGTGCTCTAATGACTAACTTCACACTACGGCAAAAAAACGACAAATTCACAGATAATTATCCCAACCCAAGCGCCTCTGGGTTTTAGCATTCGTTTTGATTTCGCATTTTCCTTGCAATTAAGTCGTTCGGGTTTGGCCATTGTTTCTGCCATAACCTTGCCTGCCCTTTCCCTTCACCGGTATTTGGTTTTTTTATTTTTCTCTTTTTAAACCATTTCTCAAATAAATACAGCGACAGTTAATACATTGGTGTCGGTTTTATTAGTCTTTTCTTCATGGTTTTTTGGCAGAGTTCCCGAAAGACTCATCCACCTTTCTTAAATTACAAAAGGGAATGTTCAAAGAGGCTACCTAGTCAATACATCGCCAAAATCACACAATCATGGATAGGCACATACATGTGGAATTAGAATTTTTCAATGGAGTAAAAATACACAGTACAAGCAAAACCAAAAATAGAAAATAAGAAATAGGTGGGGGGGAAAGAGGGAGGGGGAACAGTTATGTCTTCCACCATTCTATCAAGTAATTACCGTCATAAACTTTTCCCCAACCTCTTTGTCCTTTTTAATCCCCAAATCATCACTTTGATTTTTTTCTGTCAACCAGAACTCCATATCCAGAGTCCCTCTTTTGAAAAGCGTAGCCAGTTTTAATTTTTGAGGCAGTTTAGAAATGTGAAAGATGATGGATGGATGGATAGATGGATCATTTCCAGTTTACAAAAAAAAAAAAAAGCCTTTATCATTTTTTTCTCTGAACAAACTGATCATTACAATCGCACATTTGAAAATAAATTGAGATACCAAATGCAAAAATCAACTATATACACCACAAAGGAAAAATGAAGTTTGCACCTGACAATCAAATTCCAGTACATTTAAGCTAGAGGGCAATAACAACCCGAGAAACATTTCTTTATCCCTAGAGCAAAGAGTGACCCAAAGGGATCACTCAGTTTAATGTCATCCTACTACTAGTGTCAAACTTGGTAAAATAATAACATTTGTTAGCAGTCAAGAGATTAGCATCAAAAATCTTGCTGCCTTTGGAGCTGTAAAATCCCACATCAGCAGATCCTGGAAAAAAAAAACCATTGCAAATAGGCAAACATATTTTATATATTAGAGGTCCAATTAGAGGTGCTTGGCATCTCCAGTTCAAAGGATGAGATGAAAAACAACACCAAAGACCTCAATTTCAGGAACCTGGGGAGATGCACCCTAGTAAGAAAAGACAGTATTGAGATTGGTGAATCAATGCTTCAGCCGAGTACAAGGCAGCTTCTTACATTTTTCTCCCTCACGTGAAAAAAATGTGTCTAAAGTTATAAAAGGTTATAAACTGGAAGTTATAATTAAGTTACAGCAGCATTGCATTAGGGAAGTTGGCTCCCAATTCACTTCTGAGTACTGGTTGTAATCTGGAAAGCTCTGTACAGCTTGAGGATCACAATTTCTGAACAAGTATCCCTTCCTGGATATATTTCGTCTGAGTCCAGTGGAAAGCATGGGAGGAAATGCTCCTGAGACACAGCAAGCAGCATTTTCGGAAGCAGTCACCCCTCCCCTCAATCTCTGGAATGCATTCCCCAAAAAGGCATACCTAGGGCCTCCTTTGTCATCTTTTTGGCACCAGGCAAAGACTGTTGAGTTCTCCCAGGCTTTT